CATCGAACTACTCAGTGATAGCCACATAGCCATTTGCAAACAGTAATTAGAAAAGAAGCAGATCTGTTTGATAATGTATTATTCTTTCACAGATTTATTGCTTATGGAGATTCTTAATTATGAAGTTTCTTCTCATTTGATAAATGAAAGTAAAAATGGAAAGAAAAATTGCATCATCCCACCAACCATTTAATCTAAGGACAGTGAGGGTGAAAAAAGGAAGTTGAATCACTATCTGTTGTAGTTACATTAACGTGAAGTTGGGAGACTATTTTTCCAAAGTGTGTAAAAGATCTCTACAGTAATGGAAAGAAGCTTATGTGCCAGAATAAAAAACAAAACAAAAGGGAGATTCAACCAGCCAGAATCCTGGTGAAGAATAATGCAGCCCTCCAGCTAAGAAAGAAAAGACTTTGGCAGAACCACAAAAAACAAGCAAACAGGCTGCTGCCATGCAGTCTTCCGCACACAGCAATACCAAAGCATCATAGGCTGAGACTAGACTTATAGTTTGACAGCCTGGAGTTTATCTCTCCAGGATGTCAAAAATTTCAACCAGGCCCTTGATGATGAACTGGCCATATTTCATATATTACTTTGGAGAATTTCTGGGGAACCTGAAGACCCTGGATGGTTGAAGGAAATGGCTGCTATTTTTTAAAAAAGGACAAGCAGAATTTGGGGACTCAGCCTGGGAAGGTTCTGAAGTGGAAATAATCAGGAATCAAACAACTTGCCGAAGTAACTTCACCTCATTTGATCAAGTAGTTTTCTTAGTAGATCTCTGCAAAGGCTTTGAGAAAACATCCCATGCAATCCTGATTAGCTAGCTGATTGTAGTGGATACATCTCAGATGGACGCTCTCTAGCTGACTCCAAAAGTTTCTGATCAAATTAGAGGAGGGCATTGAGCCATAATTGCTCTAGGAGGGGAGAAAGAGGAGAAACCCCCAAACCTTCATGGCCAAAAGTAGCTGAAGCGGAATCTGTCTTTCCAAAAGCACAGCTGGTCTTTTCAACCCTCAGGAGCCTTAATTCTGCTGTGAATAATGTCTCTTCTGCGGGTGGTTGCTAGGAAGCCTCCAGCCCTGAGGGTGCCATCCAGATGGTATCCCAGCCAAAGTGCACTAACATTTGTGCAGATGCTGCCTGGACATCTGCAATGCTAATGGCCCGTTTGATATCTTAGTATCCGTCACCTTTGTGAAACAAGCAGGTCTGTCAAGAAGAAAGACGAGACAGAACAGAAAGGCCAGGATGAAAAAACAGGCCTTCCCAGCGAGAAGAAAGGATTACACCAAGATTCACAGCCTGTTTTTCTGAAAAGCAATTTGTGATTTTTTAAAATAAGAATATTTTAAATATAAATTTGATGACTGAATAAATAAATAAGAATTGATCAGGATTTGCCATGTCATGAGCATTGTTGTCCTTAGTTATTGGCAACTTGGACATTAAATATTAATTTGGAGGAGGGGCTATATTTTGTTACTGCTTTGGCCACATATACAGGTAGTCCTCAAGTTATGACAATTGAGCCAAAATTTATATGAAACATTTAAGCGGGTTTTGCCCCATTTTATGACTTTTCTTGCCACATTAAGTGAATCATTGCATTTCTTAAGTTAGTAACATGGTTAAGTGAATCTGGATTCCTCGTCAGAAAGTTGCACGTGATCCCCCTGGGATACTGCGACCGTCATAAATATGAACCAGTTGCCAAGCATCTGAATTTTGATCAGGTACAATGGTCGTGTGGAAAACGGACATAAGTCATTTTTTCAGCACCATTGTAACTTTGAATGGTCACTAAATGAACTGTTGTAATTGAGGACTACCTGTACAAAAGTGGATCTTTAACAGATGCCTCCTGATTCAGGGATCTATAGCAAAGATCCCTTTTTCCTTATCTTGTGTTTGGATCTTGGGAATAACAGAGAGTTGAAGCAGAATGGTTTGCTCTGCTTCATGCTGATCTTCTGCTGCTCTCCCCATCAAGAACAAAGATCAGCCCAAAGCAGGAATTGTGGAAGCTCACAGCAAAACAGACACTGCCCTGGAACGCATCCGTGCAAAACCACCTTTTAACCTCAGCAACCTTTGAAAGCTGGCTGAACGCCTCAGTTGACCATTGGTCAAATCTTGCTTGCTCCACCGCAATCACTGGATGCTCTCCTGCCAGTTTTGCGACTTTGGTAGGAGAAACAAAGCCCAGGGGAACTCTCCTCCTTATCATGCCCAGTACACTGCCATCAAGATTGGCACCAGTTTCTGGCAGGAAAGAGATGGCCAGTGCAGGGAGTAAATTCTACTCTGGAGTACATCTACAGATTCCAAAACATTAATGTCCGAGTGCAGTTTGACATCACATCTGCTCAGCCATGCCTGGGAAGAAGAGAGCACCAGATTCGACAGACAGAAAGTTGGACAGGCAGGGCCCTGCTCTATTTCAAAGGGAAACAAATCTTTGGCTTGCAGGATGGAGATAATGCAAATCTCATACAAAATTAATTTAATGCTATATAAAACAGCTTCTCGGCCTCCCCAGGCTTTAGAGCAAGCCTACAGACACATGGCTTTCCATTTAAGCATTTGCTGAAAATTAAGTTACTACTGATGGGGATGAGGGCCAGCTGGGCATCTTCCACTCTAGGTGCTATATCAGGCTTGACGGCATTGGCAGTGAAAGGGGTGACTTCCCTTCTGCTGCCCTTTAGCAGACTGAAATGACTCTCTCCTGAAAGCACCTTTCTCTTGGGCTGTTGATCGCCCTGGAAAGGCGGTTGGGAAAATGGGCATCTGGGTGGGAGAGGAGGAACTCTGTTCCCGCTCGAAAGAACTTACAAAAATGCATGTTTCTGGCTAACTTTTGTTCTGCCATAATAATGGAACTCAAGGGTTCCTCCGATAAACGGGCCTCAAAAGCCTTGCCAAGCAAGCCCCTTTGCTACCCAAAATAGCAGGTATAGGTAGTTTTAACCAGCCTACAAATAAAATTAGCTGTCCAAAGTATGATGCCACTGAGAGACTACGGTGGCAGATCCAAGGGTATCTTTCCTATCTTGATCCTCCAAGCAAGTGCCATCGCAGAAGCCACCCTGCGTGACATCCCTGCACCTCTCCATCTTTAATAAGATGCCAGAAATTACATCCACCGACATTTGAGAAGAGCAGGCAGTGCAATTGTGATTTCCGAGGTCAGTAAAATGAGGATCCAGATTGTTCAGGGCAATATCCCGACACTGTAAACCGCTTAGAGAGGGCTGTAAAGCACAATGAAGAGGTATATAAGTCTAAGTGCTACTACTATTTAAGCCAGCTGTGTCTCAGGCTGCTGACTGCCTCTGTGCTGTTCATCAACTCCTCCCTGGGCCTCTCCTGGTGGGCTATTCTAACCACGCAGAGATGCTGAAGGTGCTCTGGTGCTAGCCCTGCCTCTCTGGAAACCACACACCAATATTCTGCTAGAAGCAGGCAAGGAGTCTTGAAGAACAGCTGACCTCTTTTCATCCTTCTTTAAGGGAAAATTGTGAGGCACACAGGTGCATGCCTGCATTTCCATTTTAATGATCGCTACAAAATGCATTTCCAAGAGGACTGGAATCACCAAGAATATAGTGTTACAGCATAAGGGGTGGGGTGGGGCTGAGACCTTGACTTGGCTCTACTGGAGGCAAGGCAGTGCCCTCTGCAGGTATTTGCCAGGCAGCATCTTAAGAGAACAGGAACTCTTGTGAGGAAAGAGTTTGGGATCTACAAGGAACCCTGCTGGGTGGAGGGTTTGCAAATCATTTCTCAACTACTCCATCTGATTTACCAATCAGCTGAGTTGGATTAAAGCAGCAGGAATCACTAGGATGGAAACACCTCCTGGTCATAACTAACCCCTTGTTCCTCCTTTTAGGTCATGACAGGGATGCCAAACCCAAGTGTTCATAGATCTATAATAGTCTAGCGAGAAGATCCAAATACCAATAGAAAGCTGTTCCAAATCGCCTGTGGTAGTCTAACTCTTCCCTACTAGACGATACACTTCTACAAATGAAAGCGACCCTTGTTCCCAGGGCTTGAAGGCCTAAGCTCTAAGCTTTGAGACAGGCTTGAATCCAGATCCTGCTGGAGCTCCGAAAGCCGTGAGATCACTGTTGCTACCCAGGTCATTCATTTCTGCCCCTTAGTTAAAAACAATCTTTTCTCCACCCTCATCTCCAGAAGAGCCAACAGGGCATGCCTAGAAACCCAGGCTGAACAATTTCAGCCTGTAAGGCAGTCTCCTAACATGGGCAACTTTAAGATACATAAACTTCAACTCTCGGTATTTCCAAACAACCTGGGAGTTGAAGTCCACACATCATAAAGTTGCCCAGGTTGAGAAGAACTGTTTTTAGGAGTGAGGTTTCTAAACTGGGCAGAATGTTCCCACTGGCTACTTGCCTAAATGTGTGCCTATTTCCTGGCTATCAGTGTCTCTTTGCTTTCTCCAATAAAGTCCCATTACAATTGGGGATTGCCAGGGCTGCTGGGCAACTCACATTTGCCTGGCCATCACTTGGCAGACAAGCTGAGATGAAGTTCTGACCAAGATCTGCTCTTCCAGGTAAGGAAGGTGCCTCTATGTAGGACTTGTTTTGAATTCCAGGAGCTGTTTGGCACTTTGTTCCATGTATGTCAGAAACCACAGTGCCCCATCAGGGTATAATATTCAAAGGTGCAGCTGGAAGCATAAAGTAGCTATGGCTTTGGATCTCCTGGAGGATTTGACACAACACTCACGTTTGAGCCTCTGTACTTCCTTGAGCAGCTTCAATGAAAATCCGTCTGGTTTCTTAAAAGCTGAGTAACAATCCAGATACCGGAGATGGTCTAGCCACGTCCTAGCACTCCATTTCTTGCTTCTTAAGGTAATAACTGTTCACTAGGCCAACTAATTCCATGCACAAGGGTACCCTATGCAGCCAGCAGTTCTAATCATCTAATTGGCCTTAAATGTTTAAACTGAATCATCATTTTTGGCCACTATTTTATTTCTAATTTCCATATATTTGGTTTACACATATTCCCCTTGAAGCTGCAGCTCACAAAATATAAACAATAGCCCCAGCCTCTCCTCCCAAATTAAATAGGCCAGGACACAAACAACACAACTCTTCAAGAATCTTCCATGGGCACTGTGTCCTGTAGCATCTGGACCATCTTTTCCTCCATCAGCTTGGCTTTGCCTGAAAGAAAAAAATCATAGGTAAGCAAATGGTTTAGGCGTCTCTGAAAATATTGCAGCAGATTCCCCACAGAATGCTGATGCAGATGCAGCTTCTGAACCAGTAAGCCAGGAGGTTGCAGTCAAATCCCTGAAAACATCAGGCCATGGCAGAATTTTGGGGGATTAGCCATACCCTACCAAACAAGCCTCTTCAAGAATTTCCAGCCATCCTGGGTTCCATTGCTCACCTGCGTGGGGAGCCTGGATGAGGTGAATGTTTTGTTTGACTTCTTTGATATCCTGTGCTTTCTGCAACTCTTTCCCCTTCTTTAATCTTGGAGGAGAGAGAAAAGATAAATATTTATCTCCATGCCCAAAAGGAAACACTAACGAGAATCACAGCAGAAGCATTTTACTTTAAGAACCCAAGTAACCCACAGCTATACCGATGGGAAGTTTCCATAAAACCCTGTAAAGCTCTTTCCAATATTTGGTACATAAACCGATTAAGAATATTTTAAAGGTCAGTGCCATAATGTTCATGCATTTTTTTCATTACATTTCTGTGAGTAAAGCCCAATGCCAGTTGGTCCCAAAACAGCGGGTTCCCAGAAATGAGATTTTCGTACAGGAAACATCCCAACAGGCTTATCCCGAGGCAACCGAGCACCGGGCCACGGTTCCCCCGGCGGGCAGGGAAAGCTCCTACCTGTTCCAGACGAACTTGGCCTGGCGCTTCCGCTTGATCTCCTCCACTCGCTTCATCGCTTCCACTAGAAGGGAAAAACAGCCGCGCGTCAACAGCGGGAGGGGGAGCCACGCCCGGGAAGAAGGGCGCCCCCCCCTCCGCCGTACCGCTCTGGCTCCACAGCTCCCGCTGGTACTTCACGGGCTCGTGGCGCCGCTTCTCGAACTCGAAGGACCGGTCCTGCGTGGGGAGAGGAGAAGGGCGAGGCAGAGCGAGGGACGGCTCGCTCACGCTCGGTCCCAGCCCGCCGCCCGCCCGCCCGCCGCCGCCGCCGCCGCCGCCGCCCACTCACCACCGCCAGCTCCTTGCCCGACGCCCGGCGGAAGGCCTTGGTCCAGCGCACCTTCCGCGGGTTGCGTTTCTTCTGGAAGCTCCGGTGGCACTTGGACCGGCAGAACCGGAACGCCTGCGGGGAAACAGCCGAGCTCAGGGGGGACGGAAGAGGGAGGGAGCGGGGCCGCGGGGTCTGCGGCTCACCTTGCAGTCGTTGCGGACAAAGAGCATCCCGTGACCCGGGTACACCGGCCCGGAGCAGAAGTAGCACTTCTCCACGCGCATGGCGGCGGCTAAGGAGGAGGCGGAAGAGCGCCTCGGTGGTCTGGATAGAGTGGCGCCTCGTCTCACTGCGCGTGCGCCAGGCACCGGACTCGCCCCCTGCGTCAGGCGGAAGAGCCGCCCCTTCGGTTTCCATTCCGTCTGCCGAGCGACGGCCCCTAGTGGGAGGATCCACGCCGGGAGCGCCGTTGCCACGCCCTCTCCGTGCCGTGACGCGACTGGGTTTGTGCTCCGCCTTCTCAGAGCGTCTCTTCCGGCTGTGGTGCGGAGGCGCTAGTCGTCAAGGAGGAACCCGGCCCGCCTCTCTTTCCGCCCCACCCCCATCAAGCGGCGGCGAAGCGGCGGCCCAAAAAAAGGCGGAATCTGACCACGGACTGGTTTATTGCGCATCTGCCGGGCGCAGGTGGGCCCCGGCGGAGTCTTCAGCAGCTGCAGCCGCTGGCGGGCCGCGGGGGCGTCTCGGCGGGGCCGTTGGGGGCCCAAGCGTGGGTCCCGTCCACGCACCGCTCCATGCGCTTCATGAGCAGCCCGAGCAGCGACTCCACGGCCGGGCCTACGTTGGCGCCGTTGGCGGCGCTGGTCTCGAAGTAGGGCGCCCTGCAAGCACAGCAGGCCGCGTCAGGCCAGGCTCCCACCGGCTGCTGCCCAGGAGGAGAGGCCGGGGGTATCCCGGGCCCTCCGCCCGCCCGCCCGCCCGGCCGCGCCTTCCACACCGCCCCGCCCAGGTGGCCGGCCCGGCCGGAAGCCACTTGCCCGTATTTGCCTGCCAGCTGCCTGGCGTCGCCTTCCTTCACCACGCGCTGCTCCTCCAGGTCGCTCTTGTTCCCGCACAGCACCACGTCGGGGCTCTCGCAGTAGGCGTGGGTCTGCAGCTGGCCTGCCGGCAACGGGAAGGGAAGTTGCGGCTGGAGCCCCTGGCTCGGCCGGCCCAGTGCTTGTGGAGGCACTGGAGCCCCCCCTGCAAAACCCACCGGCCCCTTTGGAGGAGCCGGGCCGGCTCCTCAGACGAGAAGCTCTCTGGGGCGGAGGCCAGAGCTCTTACACCCTGCCAGGTGGATCTCTGCTCCAACTGGCTTTCGGGCAGTGAGTAACTCTCTGGCTTCCCATCGGACTACCTTGAAGCTCGGCTGGCTCCTGCTGACAGTTTCCCCTTAGCCCAGGCCTGCCTGCCCCAGTCGCTAGAAGTGGGGTGTGAGACTTACTCATCCAGTTCCGGACATTGAGGAAACTTTGCTCACTGGTTAGATCAAAGAGAAGGAGAAAGCCCATGGCATCTCTGAAGAAGGCGGTGGTCAAGCTACGAAACCTACCAAGAGGAAGGGCCAAGCATTACCCTGCTCCTCTCTCCGAGTTTTATACCAAAAGGACACATCCATGTATGTTCCGGAGCCCAGAGTCTTTCTTAGACTTAATAAGAGCAAAATATTGGTCTGAAGTTTAAACGTGAAAGAATAACTTAATTACTAAGGGCCATTTCTAAAATCATTATAAAGAACCATAGGGACTGCTTAGATTCTGCCAGTGTTCTTCAGCCATAGAAAACACCCAATGCATAGGTCTGGTGACACTGAGGGACAGCCAACATCTGGCTGCACTGATACATCAAGGATCTGCCAGGAGCCAAATTGGCCGGGTAGTGAAGGAGGGTGGTTCAGTCCATTTTTCAAACATGCTCACCTTTCCTGCCCTGCTGTGTCCCACAACTGAAGATGTATTCTCTGCCCTCGGCCACTGACCCCATCTGGTCTGTTGGGTCGGTACACCTGATTCCAAAAGGATTTGTGAGTGTCTCCAGTCATCAGCTGACAAAACCAGGGTAGCTTTAGGGATCTTTCTCTCTTCCTCCCCCTCCCCCAATGCTTTCAGGAAGCCAATAGATCCTTTGCTTTCTTCATTTGTGGAGCTTCTAGAAAAGTAAACATTGGTGTTTCACTAATGTTTGTATAGGTAAATCCATGGTGCTAAATCCATGGGCTCCTTCCCACGTGCCTGTTGCAATATTTTCCTGCAGTCCATGTTTGCTACCCATGCCCTCCTGTCCCCCTAGTTTCCCAGAATCTCAGTCTTTCTGCCCTCCAACCTGTTATGTTGCGCCTGTTAAAGAAATGAGAATGCTTTCACATTGGTTTCCCCTTCTATTATGCTGGTGTTTGTAGCGCACGTCTATATAGTGCAGCTACAACTTGCACAGAGCTTCAACTGGTGTTTGCCATTTGCCCTCCCAGCAGTAGCACCTATGTTCCTTGCACCCATGCATAGGCCCTGCCTCTGATATGTCCAAACTTGAGCAACTGAATCTGCAAAATTCCCTTCAAGATGAGTCATGATGAAAGATTTTTTGTTTTTAATGTACAGGAACTTCCTTGGACAAAGCAGCTGCATATCCACAGGGAGGAAGCAGCAAAATTCAAAGTTGCCTGCAGAAATCATATTGAGGAGTTCAGACGTGGCGGCATCATGTCTTTTGTTGGGCACAGAAACACTGGAGGCCCAAGAAGCAAGTTTCTAATCCTGGAGGAGGATTGTAGATGGCCCCACACAGGGAAAGCCTGGCATTAATTCCCTCCAGAGCACAGCTGAGAGCTTGGAACGAAGACAGCCTTTCCTCTGTTTTGGAAAATGACAGGGAAGAGCCCAAATTTCACTGTGATAGAGGCAGGATTGTCTTCGATATTGTAGAAAGGGGTGGTAGGTATGGCATTCTGCCAGTGGATTGAACCAGCTCTCTGGAAAGCTTTGCTCTCCTTGGGCTGATTCAAAAGTAAGGCTGCTTTAGAGAAATCTTACAGGAGGAAAGTCTCAAGTTCATCAGCCTGAAGAAGGCCAGATGTGGACAACCGGAAGCAGATTGTCACTAGAAAAAATTGTCACAAGAAAGGCATGATCAGCCTGCCAGAGTAGTTCAAAAGGGCAACCCACAACTTTGTGCAGGAGGGCAAAAAACCAGGTGGCGATTTTGCAGATGACACCCTGCTCAGACAGGCAGAAAGAGGGAGCCTTGGGTCACTAGCTGTCTTCTGCTAGATCCCACAAGATTGGAGGGCATTGTTTCCCACAGCTTCCACTCTTGGAAGGGTGGCTGACTGGAAGGCAGTTGAGAAGGGGGGGATTCTGGCTCTTTTGATGCTCAGAAGCTTCTGTGATTACAGCCAGTGCGTGAGAACAAGGTAACCAACATTTTCTCTGCAGCCGGGTCTGGTCCTAAGTGGTGGTTTTTCTCACTGTTTAGTGCCGATGCAGTGTGCATAGTTACTGTGTTTCCCCCAAAATAAGCCCTAATGCATCTTTTGGAGCAATATATATATATTGCTCCATATATATAAGACCGAGTCTTATTTTCGGGGAAACACTGTAGAGTCCTGGGCTGGAACAGTCGGTGGCTGGAAAAGCCAAGCTGGTGGCTGGGAAAGTAGCAGGAATTCAGGCCAAAGGCACTGCTGAAGAGAGGACAGAAGGCATGGGATGGGGAGGAGAATCTTAAAACTAGAAGGAAAAGCATCTCTACCCCCCATCCTTTGCCTGCCCCAACAGCAGGTGCAATTTCCTGAATGAGTCTTTTGCACCAGCTCAGTTTCTCCCAAAGAGGAGGAATGTAGTTGGAAGGGGGGAAAGCAGACCACGCTGGGACTTACCAGCCTCTTTTCCTGAAAATCAATGCCTATGGTTGTGATGAATTTGGAATTGAATTTCCCATCTGTGTACTGGTAAAGGAAACTGGTCTTTCCAACCCCAGAATCACCAAGGGCTAGGAACTTGATGAGGTAATCGTAGTCCCCGTCAGACATAGCGAGTGACCTTCAGTAACAGCCTGAAGGGGAAGGTGGGAAGAAAGAAGAAAAAGTTTTGAATCCAGGGTCTCAGAGGAGCCCACCAAGCGTGTGGGGCCCAGTAAAAGGCTCAAAAGGACATTGTGTGCACCTGAAACACTGTTCCACATCTTGTGCACAGGTAGTGCAATTGTGTTGGCAGTTGACTTTTGTGCACTATAGTCATCCAAATGCCTCTTTGGATCTCTGCCATTTGGGCTATGGATGTTGTGGTATGGAATTGTGTTGACTTGAGGGCAATAGATATAGCTGTGAAGCCTTCTAAATGGAACTGGAGGGTCAAGACTTCTCTGGGGCCCAGCACTCATTCCAAAAGATTCTGCTGCAGATGGGGGTATAAAGCCCTCCCTGGTAGTTTTTGATTAAAAGACAGGCTTTACACACAGATAATACTAGGAAGATGTTTGTCTTCGGAGTTTCTCTTAGTGGAAAAGGGGAGCCATGTACTTTCAGCAGACTCCCACAGCCGCCTCCTCGGAGGTTACTCCCAGACGCCTGTCAGTTGCCTTCAGGCTGTCTATAAGAGTCTATAAACACTTCATTTGTTCCTAAGCCCAGCACGAACGCACCCTAGCCATCTCTTTCTTCCTCCTCCACAAGGACAGAGACAAATTTAGGATTTGGTCAAGAGACCCAAGCAGCTGCTTGCAGTTAGATTTTGCCTGCCTATTTGCTTGCATGTTTTCATTATTGAGAGAAAAAAATGTTTTATCCCTTCCATTCAGGTCTCCTAATAATTCAGAATGCAAACTGGGTTTCAGATTGATCTTGACAGTTGGGAAGTGGAAGCGAGATGGCGAACCAGAGGAGCTAGTGCTCCCAGCTGGACTTCTCATCAAGTTGAACTTCTGAAAGAGACCAAGTAGAGGCGCCTACTCCCTCCACAAATACTGAATCAGCAGCCTCCTCCCTTTGTCTATTTGGATTGCGACTGAGTTGCCAGGAGGAAGCCTGGGAGCCTTTGACTGATGTCAAGGGGATCCTTCCCAGAGCGCCTGGCAAAGAGGCGACCAGCACATCCAGGATACGGATGGGGCAATAGTGTTAGCAGCGCAGCACTCAGGATGGAGTCCCCCCCAGACACACACAAATTAACCTTTGCAGGGGATCCCTGGGCAACCTCAGCTACCCTGCACTGCCATGCAGCGCCAGACCCCCAGCTTGACACTGGTGGGAGGGAGGGTGCTCCCTGCTAGTGTTCTACTATACAAATTGAAAGGCAGTGCCAGAAGGCTAATCTTTCAATTTGGAAGTCTTTGCAAACAACCTCCCCCAGATTTCTGTGAGCCACATCAAGCTTTCTCTTTTTGTCCACGGCATCCTGGTACAGCTGCTTTGCTGACCAATGGGCCTGTGTGCCATATTTGCCTGGGCTGACTTCTGCCTCCATGCAGAATGCTGGAAGAGGATTAAAAAGGGAAAGGGACTGCATAGGGCAGGGGTGTCCAAACTTTTTTCAAAGAGGGCCAGATTGGATGAAGTGAACGTGCTGGAGGGCCGAACATTTTTCCTCTCTTTCCTCTCCCTCTTTCTCTCTTCCCTCTTTCTCTTTCTATCTTTCCTCTCCCTCTCTCCCTTTCTCTTTCCTTTCTCTTTCTTTCCTCTCCCTCTTTTTCTCTCTCTTTCTCTCTTTCCTCTTTCTCTCTTTCCTCTCCCTCTCTTTCTCTCTTCCCTCTTTCTCTTTCTATCTTTCCTCTCCCTTTCTCTTTCCTCTCTTTCCTCTCCCTCTTTCTCTCTCTTTCTCTTTCTTTCCTCTCTTTCTCTTTCCTCTTTCTCTCTTTCTCTTTCCTCTAACTTTCTCTTTCCTCTCTTTCTCCTTTCTTTCCTCTTTTCTTCTCTTTCCTCTTTCCTTCCTTTCTCTTTCCTTTCTCTCTTTCCTCTCTTTCCTTTATTTCTCTTTCCTCTTTCTCTTCTCTTTCCTTTCTTTCCTCTCTCTCTTTTCTCAATCTTT